GTAGACGGTGGTCACCCCCTCAGTGGACGCGGGAGAACATCAAGGCCTGTCCAAAGAATCTGCCGGTGAAAGGGGCTGCCGGTGAAAGGGGCCGCTGCGCTGAGCACTGGCGGCGCTGGCGGTTGCAAGACCGACCCCGTTCGCGCGATCCGGAATAACACATCGAGGTCAAGCTGTTGAACAGATTGGTTGATGATGATGAGTGAGATGAAACTAACCGGATCAAAATGCAACCAATCAACCAATCAATCAATGAGATGAACAAATGAAACCAATGCATCTTTAGATCGAATGCAACTAACAAGCCGGCTGGGCCGACTAGCCTGATATGCTGGTATTCAAAAAACGATGACACGAAGCTGTTGAGCTCAAGTCCTGTGTATTCATGTGTATTGCTCCTATAGGCGATATAGGAGTAACCGCCATGTCACCCATTCTCATCTCGGACGTCTGCGACCCTGGGGACCCGCACGGGGAACGAGGGGGAGTCCGTTTCCTCTTCTTGGCGCTCCACAGTGGAGAAGTCAAAGGTCACCTGTTTGGAACAGCAAACTAGTGAGATACTAGATGGTGAAAGCCACAACCAGTTAGTTCAAGGGCTAGTGGCTAGTGCAGCTGACATGGGTAACTCCAAAGAATTCTGATGCTGACCATCCCAGGTCATGCACGGAATCGACACATGTGGAACCTTCGTCATGGTCCAGTGTTTCAGTTCAAGGACTCAGTTCATGTTCGTTCTACTTGGAGGGTCGGATGTCTTCAATTGTCTGCGCACTTTCCTCTCCATCAACAGCCAGGGTACCATGGATGGATCCATATTCATCATCTCCCTGAGGATTCGTTCTGCTGTCTGCCTTCAGGGCGTTCGCAGCGTTCGTGGCGTTAGTTGTGGAAGCAGGGTTCTACAGACCAGCTCTACGAACAGTAGGGAAGAAATCCTGCAGCAGTTGACATGAGGACTGCAATGACCACAACTACGACATTGTTTATACACAGAGCTTGGAAGAGCTCGCCGGGAGCTCGGGAAGTTCGGCAAGACGGGTCTTCTGGGTTGGGAGTGCTTCCAAACAAGAAGGCCACCCGGGCCAATTGGGGCTTTCCAGAGACTGGTCTCACATATTGATTTTACGAGACAAACAAGGAAAGGGGACCAGAAGACTCTTGAATCACTGGAAAACGGCTCGGAAACATACATACATGTTCAACCTGTGAACTTTGTTGACCCTAAATGAGGCACAAAACATGCACAACGGACGCACTGCACCGGCCTGGCATTCTCATGGGGCTCCTGCCAACCCGATCCGCAAACGAACTCAACACGTCATGCCCTCCAGTTGATGGAAGAGATTCTCAAAAACTTAAGATCAATAATGTCCCTCTACTTCTGACTGGTGCTTAGCAGGGAATAAGGGAATGATCTTCCAATACAGATTACTTATGATCCATTCCCTCATTCGCTAGTCAGCACCAGTCAGACTTGTAGGACTTCCTCTACTTCTACAATTTGTACAGTATCATCTCCTGTGGGTTCCAGTATGCTATCCTGAAAACAATATGCCATCCGACCAACTTCAAAAGCCTTCCTCTGGCTCTAATCGTTTCTTCACACCTCCGGGTCCAAGGACCAACTCGGAGGCCAAGCGCATCGTAAAGGACCAACTCCGTTGGGGACCCCACCTGCCTTGTATCCCCTGTTTTTGGACAGCTTTCTCTGGACAAGCCAAAGGCAAGCAAAGAAAGGCCATGATCTTCTCAAATCTCGCCCAAACCTGACCATCTACAGAACTGCACCGGCTCCCAACCACACCCCGCGGTCACGCGGTCGACGTTGACGTCGTTCGCCCGTGAGGTCCTTCTTGGTTCCAGGCAGTCGGTCGATCTCGCGCTCACGTTGATCGGCAAACTTCTCCTGCAGTCGGATCTGAGCTTAGACGAAGCAATGAGCACCATCAAGAGCGACTGGAGAGCGAATGAACAAGCATCTTTCCTGGCCCACCAAACCATGTGTCCAAACCTTCGAACCAGCATCGGAACATGTAGGCTTGCCTTGTGGCACTTGTTGGCAATGAGGCAACCCATTCTTGTGTAACACCCGCGTCATACAAGGCTTCGGCCAATACCCCCTCTCTCAAACACATTTCTTCACAGATTGAAAAGCCAAATCCTGCACCCCTCGGAAACCATTGCAGCCCGGTGTCCACACGTGAATTCAGCGCAGGTAGCACAAAAGCTTGTCTGCAGAAAAAGGTAATCAGGTGTCTTCAAATGAGCCTCCACCAAAAACCTCATCCCGGCTATACAATGGAAGGCTTCATCTTGAAACATGTTCATGGCGATTCTCTTCATTGTAGATTGTAGATCAATGATCGTCTCCCCACACCACTGAGGGTGGCTCACCGCAGTCTCCTTTTGGTCGCGCAAAACTGACAAGCCCTCACAGACTCATGCAGAATCTGCCGAAAATTCCAGTTCTGACCCAAAGAAGTCACGTCGTCAAGACCTAAATTCCAGTCCTTCCAGGGAAAACATCTTTCATTTGAACACTCCAGTTCCAGTTGGCCCACTACAGTTGGATTCCCATGAGTTCTCCGCCCCTCCCACACCACCGTCCGCCGGAGTTCCTCGCCTTGAACTCGACCAGGAGACGCGAGCCATCCGCCGGGCGCAACTTCCTCCGTCGTGAGCCCCGCGCGGAGAACGTGGTGCCATGGCCCAAGTGGAGGGCCCCACCGTCGGCCGAACCAACGGAGCGCTTGCTACGCAGACGCTCGGGGCTCCCCGAATTTTGTGGTCCACGGAAGGTTGCATCTTCACAGCTTGGATGGTGCCTTTGTTTTTGAGGTTGGCCGAACCCTGTGGTGAGGTCGTTGGGCGAAAGTTTGGAAAAAAACAAGTGGTGTAAGACTGTAAGACCAACAAACCAGGTGGGAACCGGTCGTTAAGGATGGGCCCTCGTTGGGTCGAGATGAGCACAGTTCCCGGTGGCGCTCTGGGGAGCCCAAGCAGAACCACAATGTCCACCACTCGCACCTCAGCTGAAAGAGAGGAATCAGCTGAAACAGAGGTTCTTAACTGGGCGAAAAAGGTGCAGCATGCGCCTATGAGATGCCGGAGCAAACAGTCGGCAGACCCTGACTAACGGTGGGCTTGTTCGCAGATTCGGGTCCGGCCAATCCTGCAAAAGGCCGGATCGAAGGCCATGACGTCGGCTGTTTTTGGCCACCTCCCACGTCTCGGGTCATGGCCAACTTCTTGTGCTGCTGTGCATCTAACATGAGCCTCCCAGCCGAGCACTTGTGGATGTTTCAAGAATGCCGTCGCTAAGGGAATCCGAACTTGAGCCACCGGAAGAAGAGTCTTTCCACCGAGACTGCCTAAGCTGATGGGCCTGCTCTAAAACCCCACCAGTTGCAAAAGAAACTATAAGTTGCCTCGGCGACCCATTTCAAAGAGGTGCAACAACAACTTTTAGGTCTCGAACTTGGCCAGTCCTTCCAACTGTCACTCGTCCAAAATGTCTCCCATGGTCAAAAGTGTCTCCCAGACCATGAAACACAACCAGCCAATCGCTCGACCGCAGAACAACCTCCCGCCTGGATGCTCCAGTCTCCACCTCCTTGGCCAGCTGTTCGATGTCCTTGGCCTAGCGACCACGACGCGTGGCGCCGCCCCATTCGACCCCAGCGGAGGGTGGGATGTGAGGCTGAAGACATCGGTTTCTTTTCAAGCCCTTTTCCCCAATCAAGGCACTTGGGAAGACTCTTGCATCAGGACTAGGCATATCGTTGCATTGACAATCAAAAAGGCACTATCAGAATCAACGCGCCCCACCTGACTGACCTTTCTGTTCTGCTTCGAATGATAAAACAATGCTTTTTGTGAGTCATCACGAGTGATGTCTGACATGTCCAAGCCAAGAGTGCTTGCCTCGTTGCTATGGAGGAATGGAACACATCCAATCAACCAACTACAGTAGTTTTGCTGATGCTCGCACATGGCAAGAACCTTTCCCCACAAAGCTCCCTTGCTAAAGCCGTGAGTGGAGTTGCATTCAATGCATTGGCTTGAGGAGAATTTGCAGGAAACTGCCGTATTCACACCAAAGCTTTCCTGAAAATTACCCTGAACCAATACTGAGATGCATGGTGGTCCCAAAACCAAACAACAAAACTGCTGAAGGGAAGCTAAGCACCCACCAACAAATCATCCCATCTTGCAGGGGAGCATCAGCTAAGACTCATTTGCGTCATCCGCTTCATTTGGCTGCTTTCCACAGATCATCCAATCTTCCCCACCCTCCTGATGCCTTGCCAACGCCAAACTGATTGGGATCGATGTTATGCCTTGCCGCCCGGAAAAAGGGGGAAACCGTTGGAACATAGATAGAAACTCGGCTCCCATGTTCTCTGCAAACGGGTCACAAAAAAGACGATAGTCGAGCCACCCACGTCTGGTTGGTCGCAAACCGCCAAACGTTTCTTTAAGGAAGTGGTTTCTCCACCATCTGCTGTCGCATCGAGGGAAATGGAGTGACTGAGTCAAAGCACCTTTTTTGCTTAGGAAGTGCCTTGTTGGCCAATGTTAGCTAGATGAAACACCCTCCAGATAATCTTTCTTGGGAAGTTCTGTTGGGGATCCCAGTGTCACATACGTTCACAAAAAGGCTGTGCTCCTCATCTTTGTGGTTTAAATGGACTATACCGAATCGACCAAGAGTGAGTTGGATGATTTGAGAATGAATTTGAATCGATGACGGAAAGCAATTCCCAGCCACTGATGTGATTGCATCTCTAAGCCAACCCAGAGGAATCAGCAAAATGCATGTTCATCCACCTTCATAGCTACTGTCGCCTGCTACCTTCATATTCAATAGACTCAACGCTTCACTCGGAAGGACCCATGTGGACCACTCGGAAGGACCATGGTGCATCTTGACCTCTGTGGCCCATTCTTCATGCCTAGTTCATTCCCATTTCTTCTTTTCTGGGAGTCGTGAAAGACCCAAGACGAAGGGCACTGCCCTCTTCTGGCTAAGGCTGGCTTTTGCAGCCTCCATCCTTCACCGAGGAGAACAACCTTCTCCTCGGTGAAGCATGGGCAAAATTTATAAAAGCAATCTGCATATATATAAGAGATTGGTGGTAGGACCACAGGCCAGCCGTTTGGCTGTCATGCTCCTCGCCTATCGAAACCAAGAGTAAAGCGCCCCCTCCCTCAACCACCCCGCAATCGCATCACGAGAGCAAGAGCAAGCTCGGCCGGTTCAGCCGGAAGCGCTGCACGCTCTCAGGCACCGCGAAGCTGCCGCCCGTCACCAAGGTGGCCGCCATCTCGCCGATGGCCGGACCAAACTTGAAGCCTTCGCCCGCAAAGCCGCAGACCTCGATGCGCGAGGAGCGGCTCGAGCAGATCGAGTGATGAGGTGTTCGGTCGAAAGAAAGACCAGGTGAGCTTGATCACTTTGGATCCCAAAGAATCTCTTCCCAAGTCTCCATTCTGCTGCAGGATCTGATCCGAAATGCACAGAAACGCAATCATTTGATGGCAGACAACCTGTGTTGTGAAGATCTTACATATACCTAGAACCTCGTTAGGCAATAATTTCCGCCCAACGCCATTTAGGCAGAAAATTCAGCCCGTTTTTGCAAAGAACGCCTAAGCTGCAGCCTCGAGGGTCAAAAACGCCGAGGCACAATCACATGCATTCTTACATGCAGGAGGCAGAGCCAGAATTTGAATGACAAAAATTGAGAAAACAAACGCCTGCCACTTGACGCTAATCCCCAGTCAAAGTTATTGAAACTCATGTCGCTCACTCCCCCAAGAAGATCCAAAAAGGCTACCATTCCGTTGTCCGCCCAACTATTGATTGTAGTGAGGGGGGAACGGGCAAGAACGCCTAAGTAACGGGCAAGAACGCCCAAGTAACGGGTAAGAACGCCTAAGTGACGGGAAGAACACCTACGCAAAAAGATATTAAAGCAATGAATCAAAGCATAGAAAAACTAAAAACATACAAAAGAGATCACAAGAGAAACAATAAGTGAATTCCTGACAAACAAATGTGCCTCACTATGAAAGTTCCTGGAATCAGTGGTGGGTGGATCCTCATCTATTTGAGCAATGCCACCAAAAGGACAAGAACGCCCAAGGGGGCAAGAACGCCTACAGGGGGCAAGAACGCCTAAGCACGGGCAAAGTCGCCTTTACCCATAATAGGCAGAAATTTCTGCCCAAGAAGAGGTTATAGGTATAACTGACTCAAAGGAGCGCAACATATGTGCTGGATTGTGATTCAGGCATCTTTCTTCGTTGCAAGCGGCCACAATAATGTCTGGATCTTCGGGATGCACTCCGACCACAAAGTCCTGCCAGTTTGGGCAGTTTAGGGGCTTGTGACAGTCTTCTGCCTTCAATCCACCATGGTTTGGCCCAATTTTGTTGGTGTCATCCCCCAACCAAAACTGGACCGAGATCGGATTGCCGGAAGGTCTTACAGCGATCGGAAGGTGGGAGGAACTCGCCCTCGAACTCGCCCCGAGCGGTCAGTGCGTCTCGACTGGCCAGTCCCATTGCCACATGTGTGACACATGCCCCTGAGATTTCTTTGCTGCTGAAGGCCAAAGATGTGATACAGAAGCCCAGCCGCGCTGCTGAACCCAAAGCCCAGAGTATGCAGTATGCCAGTCAACATCTTCACTCCTCATCAGCGTAGAGGTGTTGATCATAGGGGCATCGCATGGTGAGCTCGGACTTTTCCTCAGGCATCAAGCGCAACACAACAAGCAGCCAATATCAGCCAATCAGCAGGCCTCGCTTGCCCGCTGACACACCTACACATGTGTCTGCAGCATGAAACCTGTAGCCCGCAACCATTGCCCTCGGTTTTGGTCACCCCAAGTGGTTCAACCTAACTAGTCCTGTTCATGTGGGGAATCCCAGAACTAAGCACGATCGGTCCAGTCGACCAAGTCGTCCTCTTTGCTCTCCGGATGTTCAGAGTGTCTCAGCTGTCCCAGCTTGGTCCTCTCCCCGTGACGGGTCAAAACCCGGAGCTCCTAAGCAGCTTGCAGGTTGACCTGGCTGGTAGGTCAACCAAGGTCTGGCTTTGACCCACATCCCATATACTAGAATGGCATAGCGTTGTTCACTCTTGAGCACCTATACAACCTACGATCCTGTCGAATCCAGCCGAATCCCCACTTCACTGCAGGTACAGAACGTGTTGGTCAAGAAACTCCTTGAAAGAAATCAACTTCATGAAAGCATCCCTCTTTTGCACACAGGACGCAGTGTGAGAAAGCATCCATCCGTGGTCCCCCTACGGCGTCAGTGCGATCCCAGGCGTCGATGCTCAGATCTGGCAAGATCCGTCGCGCAAAAGCGTCCGTCTCCTCTCGGAGATGAGAATCCTCCTCCTCTGGCCACCTGCGCCATGCGGGCGACTGAGGAGGCTCCTGCAGCCCCGGAGTTGGGTGGAGTGGATCCTCAAAAAGACCCAGTGGGCATTTGAGATCCACACAGCTTTGAAACGCTTCCAATGTCTGGCTTGCGGAAAAAATAGAAAACCACTTTCCTCTACGAGTTTTCCTGATTTTCCACTTCAGGGAGGCGGGTTTGCAAACACCTAGTCTATGGTGGTGGGCAACATGTCATGCTAATGGCTCAAAAATGAAAACTGCAATAAGTGTCTTTTGCTTTCTCAGCCACATCTTCAAGTGAAGGTGCTGGCACCCTTCACCACACTGCAAAAATGACAGACCCCTAAATTTTAAATCCCAGCTGCAAAGAGCACAAGCTCATCCCCAATAGCTTTCTTCCTAAAACCTTTCGAGGGCCAACCCCCCTGGGCCTCACCCCCTCGTTCGGTGGCCGCCTTTGGGACCAGAGGCGCTCCGCACGTGTGCCAGCGCAGGCAAAGTAGCGCTGCGCCGCGGCAAAGGCGCCCGGCACCATGGGGAAGTCCTGCCAGTTCACAGTGCCAGTTCACGGCGGTTCAGGTCGAGGGAATGGTCGACATGCTCGCCTTCGAGTGAGATTGTCGACCCCCACCAAGAGTTGCAGGTCGGTGGCATCGGAAGATGCTGGGGACCACACCACAAGCATAAGGGATCTTTGGATTGTATCGAGTGACCCTTTTGGTTGGGTGAGTGTGCAGTTGTCCACCCCCCAAGGAAGCCAGCACACCCAGATTTGGAACCGCTTGCTCGCACCTCATGATCCATCAGTGGGCCTTGCCGATGCATGCCAAACTTGACGCCATCCACCTCAGAAGACTCACGAGTGATGTGCTCTGCGGAACACGATCGCGAGTTCCAGCGGAAACTTCACGCGAGTTCCGCGTCCCGCGAGGTCCGATGGAAAGGACCTGGAGTGAAACAGCGCAGACCCCACCGGGTGTTATTTTCGATCGAGGTACACCATTCGACACATGAGGGATCATGTAACCTCCTCTGCGCTTCATCTCCGGCTCTGGTGAAGGGTTGTGCTCAAGGACCACTGGTAGCTTGCCAGCACTAAAGAGCTCCTCTGTCCCTCGGAAAGACGGAGGTCAGCCAGGCGATCGATGCAATCCATGCAACCGAAAAGACTGAAAGAGATCTTGAAGCCCTTGTGAGGGAGCAAACACGCTGATTCATGTGTTTCACAAAAGAACCTCAGGAGTGCAAGAGTGGCTCCAATCTGGGGCTCTAAGATAGTCTGGGGTTATGAGTGGCAGGAAGCTTTTCCATGTTGCACAGAGAATCTTTTTCTGCAAATAGTTACCAGGCAAGTATCTTTCACTGCACGTTCCATAGTTACAGGCTGGTATCGTCTCTGATTACCAGGTCATTCTATCTTTTTTTCTCATACACTCCACGCCTTCCGGAGTAGCGTAGTACGTTTGTTGCTCGACGCTGGTCACCAAAGGCAACAACGGAAGACCCATCCTGAGTGCTTAGCTTGGTCAAGCCAAGCAAAAACCTAGCAACCCATACCAACCTTGACCTCCCACATCTTCTTAAGTTTCTCATCCAACCACAAGCGGTACAAGACTGACTAGCTTGGCCAAGCATCAAGCTTAAGATCTGATTGCTCCAAATGCCACCCTCGGATATGGTGGCTTGGGAGGTCTACCGAAGAAGTTGCCAACAACAAATCCCACTCTGCAAGCGCGGAAAGGGTGTCCCCCCAGTACCACTCTTGGATGTTTGGGCTCTAAATAGGAGGGCTAGTAGCTTCTTATTACTAGTAGCAATGAATAATGGCCTCCCACCTACTAGCAATGGCCTCCCACCTAATAGCGATTGCCTCCCACCTAATAGACATGGCCTCCCACCTGATAGCAATGGCCTCCCACCTAATAGCGATGGCGTCCCACCAATAGACATGGCCTCCCACCTAATAGACATGGCCTCCCACCTAATAGCGAT